AAAAAACACAAATTTTAAGACAGATTTTTTTTTTTTACATGGAAATTTTCTCAATTAAGGTACAATATAGTCTGATAAAGAGTACATTTATATACACTTTTAAGCCAGAATGATTTGCCATTTAAATATGACTTCCCTACGACTTTAAAAAGATCCTAATCAAACAATCATGCAATGTTCGTTTTTAAAACCTGTATATGTAATGGACCTTGTGAAGGATTTTATTTTTTTTTCTTCACAAAACTACAACAAAAATCTGACTATATCAGGAAATAAAACAACGTGATTGGCAGTAAGGAGAGCGGAGACAGCGGACGCTCTGAGTTTACAGAAGGAAACCTGCTACCGACCAGGTTAGCCCTGGGAGAATGTTACTATCACAACAGAAGCAGAGGTTAAGCAAACTCTCTTTTCAGGTTAAGACATCTTAGATTTTTCGGTAAACCTGCTTCATGAATCGGACCCCAGGTCCTTATAAAATACACCAAATGCTTTACAGTGTATAAGCACATTGAAATAGTATGTGCTCCTGCTTGGGTTGCACTAATGCCAGCATTTTAGTACAAATATCTGATCTAGATGCATAAAATGCATGTTCAAAATGTGTAGTACTACTGATACTACTGGCTTAAGTACTTATCAATGCTACAATAGTTCTTCTATGCTCATAAATTAGCTGCTGTGGAGCGTACGTGGCAGCATCTGGTGTGAATTTCTGTGTTACAATAATATGCTAGGTCCACTTAAAAATCACATGCTGGAAACGGATCTGGTTTATATACATCTGTAGTGTTTATCTGGAGGTGAAATTCTGTTCCTTTAAGATGCAGGCTATTTTTTGTTTTCTATTTTCAGTTTCTCCGTGCTACTAGAAGTTGTTGAACCAGAGAAAACAGACCCTACGGTGTCCCTCAAGGGACACGAGTCCATCGAGGTTCCTGCTTTGACAAAGAAAGACTATAAGTTGTCTTTCTTTGCATATAGAGAGGGGGATTACAACACCAAGGTTGGGACAAACTTAAACAACAAAGAACATTTTTTAAATATACCAACATACATAAGCTGAAAAATAGAGACAACATCTTGAATCTGGCCCTGACTGAAAACCTTGATCTTTCTACATAGGTGACGTTTCGTAATGAGGTAACAGGTGAGTACCTGTTTTACCTCATTTACTTTAAAGTTAGGCCTCCAGGAGTGCTGTCCACCATCAAAATGGAGACGCCTGTTCGTCGGGTAGCCTCAGCTACTGTAGATGTGAAGAACCCCCTGACCACAGATACCAGCTTCACCACCGAGTGTAAATGTAGCGACATTAAGGTCCTACCTCAGCTCACCCTCCCAGGACAGACCAAGGTGAGCCCAAAACATTTATTTTAATTGGAAGACAGGATTAACATCACAGCTGACCAGGGTTATGTCTGCATATCTTCCCCTCAGGATGTTCTGAGACTTGAATATCTTCCTCTTCATGTTGGGGAGTCTACCTCTCGGTTCACCCTGTTCAGTAGTGATCTGGGTCATTTTCACTACAATCTGCTTCTCAAAGCTCTGCCCCCACCAGCAGAAAAGATGGTCCACTTCCAGGCTGCTCTGGGTACCTGCCACTCTATCCCCGTTAAGTTCATCAACTACTCCCCCATCGTCACCACGTACACCTGTAAGGTAAGAAACCACAAAGCCAAATGAAAACAAATGACAATGAACCAATCTGTCTGGTTGGATTAGGAGTGGGTATTGGCAAAGAAGTCATGATTCGATTCGAATCACGATTCACATGCCACGATGCGATTCTATCACGATGCATCATGATACTTATTGCGATATTGCGATGCATTGTGATATTTTCACTGAACACTGTAAGAAAAAGATACAGCCCTTACCAGTAACACAGTGGTTTATTGATCTGTTGTTCTGTCTTTCTTGCAGACGGACTGTCCTGATTTTAGCGTGGACAGTGCTGTCCACGCTTCGCCCGGGTTTCCTTTTGGGTCAGAGGTCATGGTGGAAGTTCGTTTCGAGCCACATCAGTTTGGGGAAGTGCGGGGACAGCTCAGCCTGGCGTCAGAAGATGGAGGGGAGTACGTCTTTCCTTTGTGTGGCGTCTGCGTTCTCCCCAGACCTCAGGGACCTTTCAGCATCATGGCGGGTGGCAGCATCACCATTCCCTTCAAGAACGTGTTCCTGAAAACAACCACTTTCTATTTGAAGGTAAAATTCATTAACGTGGCCTATGCTATGTTATTCCATGCCACAACGCAAGAAAGACAGTCACAAACTAGCTGTGGGTCAAGTTAGTGCGACAACAGAGGGACATGAGGGTTAAAAAGAGCGGGGATCCAGGTACGAAAAAGGGTCCCTGCGTTCTAACGCACCTCACTCTTCTAGCGAGTCCACCTTAATGAGTCAACTTCCAAAATGGCGATCATACAAACAAAACAAGCTGATAAGGTACCAAACAGGAAATACGCATGGTGTAGAGCAGATGTAGAGTTGACCAATCAGAGACCTCCTGTCTCGGACACTGTCTGCGGTCACCTACAGTACGATTTCGGAGAGGTGCAGCAGAGTGTCTGGCACTTTTGCATTCACTGTGAAACACACAGACGTCCTGGTTTCTGAGTATAAATCATTCTTTAATCTGCAGCGAAACAAACTTTAAAAGTTGCAGCCCGCCATTGTCTTGGTCAAACCATTTTATGTTGGGGTGGGGGGAGTTCTAATGGCCCCTGATTTAAAGAAAACATATTACATATGCCATATGTTTATTGAAAAAAGATAGTGGGTCTGAACAAGAAGCTGTCTGGTCTGGTCTGGTTCCTCTGGCCTTTGGAGAGAGGCAGGGGTCCGATTTTAGGGAGAGTGTCTCCAGTGGTCCAAGTGCTGACCAGTACTCTCTCCCTGGTTGATGGTTCGAGGCTGGACAGGCAGGTGAGAGCAGGTAGAAGGGATGAGCGGTGGATCAGTCCGAGATCACACTCGGGTTCCTGGTTGCTTTCAGACGGAGATCCAAGGTCTGTGGTTCCAGGCTGGGTTTCAGGGTCAGAGTCCAAGGTTCAACGCAGAGACGTCAACAAACTGACGCCCTCCTCCTGGTTCCAGCTCCTTAAGAAGGGTGGTAATCAGCTCAGATGTAGTGCACCTGCCCGTCCATCCCTGCTGACGAGAGAGAGAGAGAGAAAGCCTGGCCTGCACCCAAGGCATGGAGAATGACATCTGGAAGCTAACTTTTTCCGCTTTGGATTTCGACATAAATCTAGAATCATTGAGTTTTATGTTTTCCTTTAGTGTTAACATTATAGTATATAGTGCATAATCTAAACAAAGAAACAACTAAAATGCAGATAAACATATTTTGCCAGATTACAGGTTTAACTGTCACAGTTGTCCCCCTCATGGGAATTTACTGAATCCTTAAGCTGAGGTCATGCTGGTCACTTCCTGCTGCCTGCTGTTAACCTTCTCCTCACATCTCTACCATTGCTTTAATTTTTTTAAATGTTTCTCTCTGCATATCTTTTAATTTAGGGTATTTGTTTGTCTCCTAGGTTGACAATCCCTGCTTCAGTGTGAAAGAGGTGGACAGCATCCCCTCTAAAAAGAGGAAGAACATTCTGGTGTCCTTTGAAGCTCCTCCAGGGGGGGCTGGTCAGCTTTCCTGGTCTGGAAAGCTGACCGTCAGCAGCCAGTGCTCCGAGGGCCACAGCGAGCAATGTTCATGGGTGTTTTACCTGCAGGGCAAGCTACCTAAATGACTTTTTCATTGCAAGCCAAAGACAGACGGCTATGCCTTTTATACGTTCACTCACCTTAAGTTTTCCCTATTTTGTTTGTCTAGATTTTAGAACGTATAATTTAATAAAGTCTGCAGAGAAGCACTTCCTGTTACTGCACAGTCATTTCCACATGGGGGGGATTCATGTCAAGTCAGTTTACTGACATCTGCTGCTCCATAGATGTGTTTTAAGGTATGTCTTACCTAAACCTTTTTTTTTTTTGCCTTTTGGTCACTGCTGTGGCCCCTCAGCTGGACCTAAATCATAGAAGATTTTCTCCAAACACAAAATCCCAGTACATTTCAAACCAAACAAGACCCTTAAAAACAGGCTAGTGCATCCTACAGACAAAACCCTCAGACCTAATATGAGCGGAGT